AAAAAAAAAACAAACCGTATAAATATGTATATACGTATTTATACGCGGCGGCTGTCTCTGAAATCCGTGCGGTACCGAAGCTTGTGTACGCGCGTTTGTACAGCAAAACAAAAACAACGAAAACCGTAAACGCGAATTAAAAACGAAACCCTTTTCACGGGGTCTCGTGTACGCGTTTACGCGGCACGACGCGGTTTACACGGCGTACGTTTTTCTCCGGCATATTTCCTCGTGTTTTGCCGGAGCCGGGCCCGCGACAAAACACAAAAAACCGGCATTCTGCCGGTACCCGGCCGAGGTGCATGTATGCATTATGTACGAGGGGTCACTCTCGAGTCGAGGGCACACAATGGTTTATATAATAACATTATGTTGATAAAAAAAAAAAAAAATCGGAAAGAATATTATTATAATACGCGCGTGCACAGATAATAATAACATGTCCCGGCGGCATACAGCCGCTCGCGAGTACACACGACAATTGTGCGTGTTGTGTTCCTTTTTTTTTTTTCTCCAATCCGAACTAGTGAATGAAGTCGTACCTATTCCGAAACTACACGGTAATAATATGTAAACGCCGAGTCGCGTCGGTGGCGCGACGCTAGCGGCGGCGGTGTCGACAGTAGGTACTAAACATATTATAATATACAGGATTTATCACGAACGTCGCGGACGTCGTTCAGAATTCGACAACAGCGACAACAACTCGTGCGAAAATTGATATTCCGAAGTTATTATGTCAGAGAGACTACTTGACTTCGTAATAGTTATGAAAAGCTCGTAATGGTCCCCGTTTTGATGTCAAAAGTTTAGACGTATTTTTTTCGGGGGNGGGGGGGGGGGGGGTGGAGGGGACACACGGAATAACGGTAAAATGTCGAAACATCCACGTGATAATAAGACCGTTACTATTTTGGCGTACACGCGATTGTCACTGTTGTATTACATTCCGAGCGAAATTTACCGAAATCGATTTCATCCGACGTTTAATCGTATCGCGGCGCACATAAGCCGGCACATACACCGGATATTCGGCGGATCGCTGTATATGTATACGTATGTATACACATGTTAAGTGAAAATCAATCGGCCAGTACGTCATTACAGTGCTCGTACGCGTATTTTTTATACGACGTCTCGCCCTCCTCTACCGACACCCCCCACCCGCAACAGTCCACCGAAAGAACAAAACATCCCCACGTTGAACGCTGTTATACGGTCCGACGTTGACAGCGATAATATTATCGTTACGTTACGTCGGATGCGGATGTTGTACTCGCGCGGTACTGATTAACGCGTTTAACGCCGGCCACGGGATCGCGGATTTTATTGTATTATTATTATTGCCGCTGTTGTGTGGGTACGCACGAATAAAACGATAATAGTTTGTCCGGTGGCGTTTTATATTACTATTATTATTATTATTATTATTACGCTATAATGTATAAACGAGCTTCCGAGTTCCGACGACGACTGCAGCGCGCGCGCGCGTACGTGTATGCAGAGACCGCGGTATAGTAATACGCGAACGATACGACGCCATTTATATTATTGCTCGGTGTGCCGCTACGCTCGGCTCGGTCATAAAAATCCGGCGCGAACGATAAAAAAAAAAATAAAAATAAATATTAATACCCGTTGTACCTGCTACACTGTGTAGTGTATTATCACGTGTATTACGATCCGGTAAAAACGTCAAATTTATGTCCGGTACTTGTTTTTTTTTTTTTTTTTTTTTTTAAGGATACGACGACACAATAACTGTCGATATTTTTTACAGCAATGCTATCGATTGATATGATGTGCGGGATGATACATTTTTCCGCTGTTAATATTGTTACGTCCGTTATGCCATTATGATATTTTACGGTGATGATGTTTCATTGCAAATTATACATAGGTCCCGTCGATGTTGTTATTATTATTATTGTTTATTCGTTTTTCAGCAAAAGAAGAATATTTTTATATACCTATACGCATTACATTTTTTTCGGGGTTTTTTTTTTTTTTTTTTATTTCAAAACAATGCCGATACGCGTATGACGTTTTTATTTATTTATTTATTTTTTTATTTTTTTTATAATCTCTCTATTATATCGTTATATTGTATCGCCCGACAAAATATTTTCATAATGACGATTATTATTATATTGGATGCGTTTGCGTTTGTCTTTACCGTCCTCCAAAACTATACAACAACATCTGTACAATATTTTTTTGCTACCCGCGTATAGGTACCTAATCCGTCATAATTTTTTTTTCTCTCCGCACACGCGCATATTTTCGAACGACGAGAATGTTAAGGCTATAGCGATTTTCTAGTATAAATGTTTAAGGAGGAAAAAAAAAAGAAAAGAAAAGAAATTGTTTTAAGGACGGTACCAAATTTGGCGTTTCTTGTTTTTTTTTTTTTTTTAATGTTTGTGCGCATAGAGGCGACTATCGGACGAGATAAAACCACCGTGGGGTTTCGACAATAATACGCGGACCGCTGCAGACGTCAACGTCTGCACGACTAGTTTTTATCCGGACCGGACAAATTGAAACGCCCGAGCCGAAGACTCCATAAGGTCGCGACGGCTGGTGCGCAGAATTTGTGTTATTTTTTTTTTTTCTTTTCTTTTTTTTTTCTTGTCGTCGCCGCCGCCGCCGCCGCCGCCGTTCTTTTATTATTCGGTCATCACACTAATCAATTATTCCGCGCAGACAACGCAATGCCCCGGGAAAGACAAAAGGACAAAATTCTCAAAATGTTTACAAACGGGCACGACTGCGAACGGGGGCCGCGGGCGGGTGGGAACGAGGGAACGGGGAAACGAATCGGATACATATATATATATATATATATAAACCTGCTATTATACACACGCATACGTATGCGTATCTCCGTATGTCCGTAAGAATGCGCGTATTTTTTACTATATACAAATAAACGTATAGTGTACCGCATAATATGCGTATACACGTTATTATTATGTAATATGTATAAATTTAAAAATGCGGTCTCTTACCTTGTGATCGTGTCGGCGGAATCGCGTGCGTTTCGCGCAGCGCTGCCGGTGCGGCTCCGGTCGGCCCCGGGCATTCCGGGAATACTGCGGGTCGGCCGTCTCCGGCGGTGCTGCAGGTGTGCGGGCGGACCGGACGAAAACGACGACAGCGGCGACGGTGACGTCTTCTTCTCGAGAGCGGATTATTGTTATCATTATTATTATTATTACTTTTTTTTTTTTCTCATCGTTATTATTGTTATTATTTCGTTTTCGTTTTCCGTTTTGCCGGTGGTTCGATCTCCGTATCGCCGTCGTCGTCGCGTGCGGCGACGCGTCCGTATAAGTGCTCCCGCGTGGGCCGCGCGGTTTCGCCGTTCCCCGGGCCGGTACCGGTGGCGGTTGTCAGTGGCGGATGGGGGCGGGGAGGGGGCGGGAGTGGCCGTGGATTTTGACTTTGTACACACTTACAATTATTACGTATATATAGATTTTCACAATATGTATATTTACATTTATTATAATAATAATAATAATAATAATATAATGAAAAAAAGCGACATTATCTTTAAGTATATATGAATACATTATTATATTATGTATGCATATATATATATACATATAGGGGATATACAATATATTTTTTATTAATAATATATTGAACACAACTAGAAACAAACACGAAAGTCGCGCGCGCGACGATAATATTATATAATATAATAATAATATATATAGTTAAAAAATACGGAGGACAAAAAAAATATATGTATATAATAATAATAAACACGAAAATTACAAATGTATGTACAAAAAAAAAAAAAAAAAAAAAAAAAAAAAAAAAAAAAAAAAACGATAAGGAAAATTATAATGATAACTCGTATATAGTATATAGGTCGGGGGTGGTGGTTTGTTTTGGGGCATATTTTTGTTGTTGTCGTTCTTTAGCGATCACCGGCGGCCTGAGCGGCTGCCAAAACGGCGGCCTTTTGCGCCTGCGCCTGTTTCTCCTGTTCGTTTAGCTCTTTGATAGCTTGTATCTCTTTTTTCAGCTTCATCCTCCGGTTCTGGAACCATATCTTTATCTGTCTCTCGGTCAGGCACAAAGCGTGCGCCATCTCTATCCGCCGTCTCCGCGTCAGGTAGTGGTTGGTGTGAAACTCTTTCTCCAGCTCCAGCGTCTGGTATCTGGTGTACGTTTGCCGACCGCGGCGTCTGAGTCCGTTCGCTCCTGTAGGAACAAGATAAAGAAAAAAACAATTATTTTTAAAATTGTTCGTCATTGCCGATAAAATGAATGATATATCGTAATACGTTTTGCAGTTCAATGATTAAGTTGTAGGTATGGATTACATTTTAACATGATATGACGCGTGTCTTGACGATGCTGCAGTAACTAGCCACTAGTTACGGTAACAGCAAGCTAGTTACGAATTTTCCGAGCAAGATGTGTTTCGGTGTTATTGTTTACCACGAATGTGTGATAACCGAGGTATCTCGACAACCGGGTGGCCGTTGGTAAAATACTGTACAGTAAGCGTTTTCAGCGATATCGCAGTCGTGTGGTAAACAATATTCGGCAAACTGTTTGCCGGAAACCGCATCGCCAAACACGTACCTATATTATTGTATCGGATTCGTGTTTTAAATGTTTTTACTCGCATAAATGATATTCTACACAATACGTATGTTATTATCGTTTTCGATAAAACAGCAAAAATCATAATGATAAATAATTCTACGGTGTATAAATATACATCATAGATAGTACCTATTATACTTTGAACGAGTTGTTAATTCGTTTAACACTTTTTTTTTTTTTTTTTTACGTGATAAACATTATACTGAAGCTAGGTACGCGTGTATTTTTCTCGAGTTATTACGTCGGTATATATTATAATTATATTGTAAAAATTAATCAATTTATCGTGTTCGTCCCCGTACATTAATATCGTTATTATTATTATTATTATTATTATTATTATTATTATTATTATTATTATTATTATTATTATTATTATGTACATTATAGTGTTCCGAACGAATATTTTTATTAAAAGAAAAAAAAAACCAGTATGAATAAATTATTTTTAATTTTAAAATCGCGTTAACTTTATCTAATGTACGCGCGTCCTGCGATCCATGAAATTTACATCGTAAATCAAAGCGTACAATCTTGTAAAGTATACAATATAACGTACACGTACATTACATACTACATTTTTTAAATGAATTATAAACGATAATAAAACGTAACGAAACTGTACATTAATATAATTACAAATCAATATTAAAATCGACCGACGAAGATGGTACGATTCTCGTAGTATTACGATGGGAATAAAACAGGTTATTGAAATATATAATAATCAAACGCATTTTTTTCTTATGCATATAGAATTATAATTTAGCGTCGTGAGTATAACGTATTATACGCGGTATATTAAAATGTTTTCCTAAACGTCTCATTTTCAATTTTTCTACGGGTTCGAAAAAAAAAAAAAAACCATTTAATTTGGATATACGTAAGTATTTAAATGAAAAAAAAAAAAAATGTGATTATATTAAGAGAGAACATTATCGCCGGAAAAACGCGGTGGGATATTCTGTATGTATATAATACAAACACGACGATAATTATATCACGTTTTCATTTGCGGCGTCTAATCATTTGGGTGCCAAAAAAAAAAAAAAAGTCATGATAATATATTATTTGTTGGGTACCGAAAATTACGAAAACTATAATATTATATGAAATGTGTTCGGACGATGGACTGCACTCTCGGCTTTCCCGTCGGACCCGGTATATAAGCTTTGCGGCATCAATATCTGTGGCCGGAGCAAGATGAGCCGATGTAAATTTTTTGAAAAAAAAAAAAAATAATAAAAAAGTGTACAATTTTTTTATTTTCCACACAGTGATTGTTTGAGTTTTTGTAAAAATTGAAAACTACACGGACATTTACATTCAGTAAAACACACAGAGCCTCGTGGGAAATCAAAGCTTATTGGAAATTATTATTGTATTGTATGCAATACGTATATGGTCGAGTAAACCAATGCCGGGTCGGGCCAAATATTTAGCACAGAGCTAAACTCGTTTATCCGGAGTTGAAATTGTTTTCTGTTCCGCGTTTTAATTGCGCGTGCCGATCAAAATGTACTACTTTACCGGGAGTGAATTTACAAGACCCGTATATTATCGGGGTGGGTTCGCGGCGGGCCTCCGTCTTCGTCCGCTGTGCGACGTAATGGCGCGCGCTCGCTAATAATATGAACAATAATAATAATAATAATAACGATGATGACGATGATGACGATAATAACGATAATGATAATAACGATAATGATAATAATA